GAATTAAAAATGCACACATACATAAACTAAATATGTAGACGTAAAAAGAGGTACACAGGCGCACAAACATGATAATACATTTTATTGTTTTTGTCGTGTGTATATTGACTTAAACAATTTAATCTGACCTGGTGTGACCAACAGTATGATCTTCCTTAGGTGGTGCGACGAGCTTGCAAATAGCACTCACAACAATCTTCGATGCTCCAATATACTCCTGTGTTTTCTCATCCACTCTGCCAGAGTTGATAGCGCAGTGGGGGTACCTCAACACACTACCATAACCAGCCCATAAACTCTGAACTTCCTCAATATGCCTGTCAGCATCTGTACGCGGTCGATGTGACTTTGCTTGTGATAGTACGTACTCAGCCAATTGCTGCGGTGTCTTAGTAGTTGCCATGTCAACGATACAGACCATGGATTCGCTATGTGCAAAAATGTCAAATGAGAAACCTACCCACGTTTCACGGCCACGGCCACGGGCCGCGTCTATAATAGTATTTCTGTACAGTAGTTTTAAAAAATATCAACATTTATTTAGTTTCTGTGTTCAATTTAGAGGGCTATGGCTTCTGTAGAAATACAAATATTAGCTTGGCATGTGACGTGTATTTCCTTCTCAATTTTTTCCTTCTCATTATTTTTGCATGGTTTCTATAAAGCATTTGGCCCTTCGGGCTTCATAAAAAAATTGGTGGGTGGGAAACTGTGAACTGGGAACTATAAAATACAAAATTGTAAATACGTCTAGTCAGGTGGGATTGACTTTAAATCTTTGATAAAAATATTCCAAAAACACAATTGTTTTTAAAAAATAGAAAATTAAACCAAAAAAACAATTTTTCATAACAGCTTCTTCTGAATATTGAACAGTTTTTATATTGCTCGTTCTAAAATAACAACAACAAAAATTTTGGTTAAAAAAAAAGTATTGAAGTAAAAATTCGGCAGACAAGATCCAGACGTCAGGAATCGATTTTTGTGGATGGCAATCCAAACAGAGTTGGTATTACAAATTCAAGATACGATTATGATATCAAAATCTAATGTACTATACACATAACACAGAACACAGTCAACTCACTGGTACCTGCAGTATGCACCAATCACAACAAGTTTATATATATAGCTGTTCTGTTAAATATGGAAGATGAATAGATATTTATGAAAACAGCTGATAAGGCCTAGGAGGTGCAGCAGGACAGGCACTGTGAGTGTGTAGCATTCAGGCCGACACAAGAGAGGCGACAATCGACATGCCCCCAGGCCCAGGGGGCCAGGGGCCAGCATGCAGCATACTCACAGCAGATTGACAGCGCGTGTTCTCTCTCGCATTTACATTGTCGTACACAAAGAAGGGACGAAAATAATAAAATATACTTGTTTTTTATAAAATAATCTGTAATACCGGGCCCAAGGCCCCAAGCCCCAAGGCCCAAGGCCAAGAAGGCAAAGGCATGGGTCGTTCATCAAAAAGATTTTATAACCGTTTTGAAGCAGTCTATTTATAATGTTTACTCGAGATTTATAGTTTTAAAAAAACCAAAAACGATTAGAGAGAATCTGTCCACATATAAACCTCAAGACCGGCGAGGATTTTACTATAGAGGTTGACCCAAACGTATATTAACAAATACATTCCATTGATCATTTAATAGATCAAATTGTTCGTATTAACGAGTAATAAACACATACTTAATCTCATCCCGATCGGGCTATTGGTTCAAAAGTTACAGAGAAATTCGGTTTGTACCATAGTTGGGTCAAACTAGCTAAACATGAGCACTATATAGGTCCGTTCACACCTATCAGACATCTTTGGAATCAAAGTATGTTGCTCCTATACTCTTTGAACTCCCCCCCCCCCCGTATATGGTTTTTCTATTTTTTTTGGAAGTGCCATTCTATTTTTAAAACAAGAGCAACTCTTTTTTTAAAATGAAATATTTTCTCACCATCCCATTGGCCAACAACTATATCGATTCTCAATTCAAACTATATCGTGCAAGACTTTACTTCGATTAGGGCCGCCCTAAATAGACAATTTGCTATGCAAATGATATTGCTGATTTGCTGTTGTCTTCTTTTTTCTTTGTCTACATGTAGTTGAACAAAACATTGTTTTCAAAAACATGAAAAAAAAAAGCCTTCACAGCTTCTCTCTGGGCGTCCTTTTAGGCTTCTCAGTTTCAGTTTCAGTTTCATAATCGAGAATTTAGACTTTCTGTCAGTTTCGGATTTTGTCGCTCCATTAATTTTTATCACTATAGAAGGCTATGTATGACATTAGATATTTCATGAACTTTTATTGTTTTTAGAAACTGTATTTTGGGTTGTTTTATAAAATTTTTTTATTAAAAAGGTTGAATAAATTATATGAACTTTGATACATAAATAGGTATATAAAGGTTGGGTTTTAATTTTTATTAGTATTCTAGGGTGGGGAAACTGGGGATGTTAGAGTTTACGCCTCTCGATGAAGCCAGGGCGCCAGGAGCGATCTACGCTATTTACAATGAATCCTGGCGACCTGCTCAGGATGCTGCTAGCATACATAGCCTCTCTTTTGTTGTTGGGAGTCTTGGGACTTGGACCTTGGTTCCTCTACTACTAGTAGTATCTCTACTACTCTACTCTACTAAGTAGAGAGGGGGTCAGGGGGACTTGGATCTGAGATTCGTCTCATTCCAAAATTCTGTCCCAGTGACCCAGTCCCTCACCATTGGTTGAGACTTGAGAGTATGTAAGTAATTTTAAAAGAGAATTTGTTTTAAAACAAATAAAAAATTGATAGTCTTCTGTTGAAAATAGTAGTCGCAGTATTTTATTTTTATTTTTTTTCGTCACTAAAAGCTTTAGCTATTAGGTCCCTCAGAACTTTATTTATTCCAAATACGGAATGATACGGAATGAAGTCGTATTTAAAAAAAAAGAAAACGAACAGCCGAACCCCCACCCCCCCCAACAACAACCAAAACGAAATTGTAAATCTGGACCCAAACAAACCGCGCTTTCGCAAAACAAATAAGGGTACGAAAACCCAAAATAATATTAATTTATATTTCCCCCTCTATTCAGAGCCTTTAGTTCCCCATCAATGTCAGCGGTGCTTCAGAACTACTTAGATGGAGTCTCTTGTCACACTTGACATTTGACACTTGACATTTGACACTGAACACTGTCATCTTGTTGCGGCTCTGAACTTCTGAAGTCTGATGACAGTCTTTTTTAATTATGAGGAGTGAGAGCGAGAAGGGCAGACCCAGCAGGCCGCAGGGCGTCTTGAGACTTGAGGCTCTGAAGTCTGAGAATGAGCCTCTGTATATAAAACGCTCTATTTCCTTCTGAAAAAAAAATATAAACTCAAATATGAAGACTTTTATAATAATATGTACTCTAAATTTAATTTATGATATATTCTTAAAAATTCACATGTGGTTCGGTTTGAAATGGTGGTCGAAATTTAAATATTCCCAGAAAGAATTTTATCATAATCCAATCAAAAGAAGTAAAGTATGAGTCAACTTAGTATATTTACTATTGGTGATAGTATAAAAGCACAAAGTGTAGGAGTACTTACTAGTGTTGTATTATCTCTTTGGTCATAATGGAGTGAATGGACTCTTGCATATCAACTAGCAAGTCTCATCACAAGACAATAAAAAAGATGTCATAAAAAAAACTTATAATACAGTGAATAACTGAATACTGAATACACTCAGACAGTCTCAGAGTCTCAGATTCCCAGTCACTGATGAGTCTCAAGTCTCAAGGCCTTAAGTCTCAAGGCCTCAAGTCGCAAGTCTCAAGTCTCAACTCCCCTTCTCCGGCCTCACCGGCGAATCGAGATTCGAGACTTCTGGAAACTGAAAGTAGCCGGCTTCACCAATATTTAACGAGAGACTGAGTCAATTTATAGCCAATACCAAAACCTTTTACACGCTCGTGTTTTTCAATAAAACAATTAGCAGATTGTATTAAATTTTGTTAAAAAAATACTATGAAAATGCTTGTTGCTCTCTGCGAATTCCGATTCTTGTTATGTACCGAATCACATTTGAAGAGCAATCAGTAATTCAGCCCTCAGAGGCCAGAGTTCCTAATTTTGAGTTCTTCCGACTCTAGTTTCCAACTTCCCACACACAAGCCTGCTTTTCATGAGATTCCTTCTAGAAGATTCGCTCAATACTAAAAGAGTATATTTCTTCTTTCATTAGTACAACAGACTTTGTTCATATGCACATAACATACTTCATTTATTTTTATTTTTAAACACACATATAATGTTCATAACCGCCTACTTGAGAGAGAGAAAAGGAAAAATCAGAAGTGCCCTTCGGCTTCCGGCCTGCAGTGCTCAACTGCACACACATCACACAGGACGTGAGTCGTGAGGACTCAGAAGAACACTACCTGCAAAAAAATAAAAATAAAGTATGAAGTTCACAGCCGCCTAAAATAGTAGAATCTGAACTGCCCTGGCCCCTGGAGTCCAATGGACACTGGAGTCCTGGACAGTGGACACCCCTGAATCTTTGATTACATAGGCTTTTTAGACTATAGGTATTAAAAATAGGCATAAATTCTAAATATCGTTACAAAATATTTCACCAGTGCCAGAGAATGTGACGAGTCGTCTCATTCTAAAAAAAATGTCCCAAAATATATATATATATATATTTATTTTTTTTGGGAATTTTGGGAATGTGACGAGTCACAGCGAATTTTTTTAGCCCTCATTTTCCCATCGAACGATTTGTTTTGGCCCATAGCTATTTATCGGAATCAAAAGACCGGAAATTTCTGCGCGAAAAAGAGCCACGAAACAAATTGATCGGACAATCGACACGGAAATGGGAGATGTTTGAAATTGGTACTTCTATAGTATGAAGTTGTAACTTCTATAGGGATAATATTATTTATTTCAAAAATGGCAAGTATGTATGATACAATGCATGAACATATGGTATGGCTCTCATAGTCGCTGTAGTGGTTCAGGAAAGATTGATGGGAAGAAGTGGTCAGTAAATTCCCGTTTGAAGCTTGGGCCAAGTGAGTCGACAATGGAAGATATGTGCTTTGATGGTACTAGCGCAACCAATCTAGGCACTCACCGTATCCCTACCTCCGAACTCTCATTCGCTCGCTCATTTGATTCTGATGTACCAGTTATGGAGTCACAAGTCAAAGATATAATTGACAAACCATCCGAAGACGGTTAAACTTACTACAAGACCCATTTCATGGATGGGACAGTAGCTTGGCTAACCTCCGATGCATTTCGTGAATCTCGCGACTTTCTTCGTATCTTCAATAAGAAATGGAATAAGCGTTTACATAAGAACACACGAGATAAACGAAAATGGTTTCCTCAGGTGACTACAAACCCTGACTGATCTGAAATTCCCTATTTGCCACCTATTTCCTACGTGACTAAACTTTCTGATCTGCTTACCAACAGTGCAGAAAATTGTTCAAACTTACCTACTAATGAAGAACAGCCTTTGGCTATTACCTTACCAAATAATAAACGTAAGGCGCCTACATCGGAAATGGTTACTGGACCAAATACTAAACGACATAGAGTACAACATGAGTCTCGAACTCGTACATATAGGCACATACTAACTCGATAAGTCATGACCGAAACCGGTTTACTTTGGTTTTCGCTTTACAAACTAGATCGTATCTTAACGTACGTTCATAGTTCTAAAAGCTACTGGGGGCTATGTAGAAATACGGCCGCCGGTCAGTCTAAAATATCAAGATCAATTGAGATAATACATTGGTTTTTATTTGTATTTTAAATAATTTAATACAAGCTCTTTTTCCAATATTTCCAAAGTGTTCTAAATGCACTTTGATGGCTCCAATAGCCTGAGTATTTAGTATGACTCATCTACTTGGACCTATTTGAGACATTAGTAGATGTAGGATATTATAAACTAAACTTTATAATCTCCGAACTACTACTTAT